CCCTCCCTCTACCCCAAAGGGGTTATCTTGGGACCTTGAAATAAGAACCTCTTTTCTAGATAACTTTTAAAAATATATATTTTTGCATGAAACTAAAATATCACAAATCTTGGGAGCTATGTATTTAGAGTACATCATTTACATCCATCCCTTCCCATCAGAGCCGTTACCCTGCGTTATTGCAGGCCTTGTAATAGTTTCTAAAGTGAGGTCTGCTGTTACGCCCTGTAGAAAAGTGTCACAAGAAACTAATATAGTAATTTTTTAAATTGTCTTTATGTGAAACCAGGGGAAACATTTTTGTCTCTTAGTGTTAGGTAAATTTGTGTTTCTCATAAGCAAATATTATGTTTATATTATGGGAGAAGAATTGCTCATAATGTCCTTTGTGCCTTTCCAACAACTTTTGTTGGGGCATACATCCAGCACCATTTACTAACTTTCTTATATTTTATTTTGCTATTTGACTTTTAGTTTATTTGTTCTCTCCTCTCCTTCCTCCTCTTCTTATTACATGATTTTAGTTCTGTATTATCCCTCAAATCCTTTGTGGAATGAAGTGGGATATAAATTCATATGTAACAATAATAAAGAGATAAATGTCTTTTTTGAAATAGTTAAGTGACAGCATTGTTTTTGTAATTTCCAAGGAATATGGATTTCACAGAGGACTTTGTCAACCTTTCTAAGTTTTAACTTTCTCAAAAATATGTGTGTCCATACTGGGATTTTGCAGTCATACTGACATTTGTGTAACATTATTTTAAGATAACATAGTATCTCTGTGATAACAGAATTTGTTTTTTTACCCCCAACTCTGATACTGGCCTGTTTTTGACAAGTTCCCAAGTACCTCTGTACCTGTGTTTTGCTGTGTCAGAAAGTGAGATAATTAAATATGCTAACCTGGGGCGTTTCAGTTGGTTAGGCATCCAACTTCAGCTCAGGTCGTGATCCTACTGTTTGTGGGTTCGAGCTCTTCATCAGGTTCTGTACTGACAGCTCAGAGCCTGGAGCCTATTTGGGATTCTGTGCCTCCCTCCCCCCCTCCCTCACTCTCAAAATTAAATAAACATTACAAAGTTTTTTATTTTTTAAAAAATTTTTTAAAAATAAAATGTGCTAATTCCCTTCCTCTTGAGGAATGTGCTTTTATACATAGAAGATTTAAGCATCTTGAAACCAAATCATTTGTGTATAAAGTAATAGCATGGGCCATTATTCCAACTTCATATTGTTTGCCTCCCCAGTTCACTAAGTTGAGTGATCGGTAAGCATTCTGGAAGTGCACCAAGAAAAAGTTAAAGATGTTCCTATTTCAGTTAATGCACGTTGTGATTGTGACTTTCTATAACCATAGCTCTTTAAAGTTACTAAAGCAACCATGTGAGGGACAACTTGTGGGCTCTCAGGGTCTGGTTAGGCCAGTTTATTAGGACATGGCAATAGTGAAGACTAGACTCCCACTAGGTTTACTCTGTGCAGTATTTTTAGATTGTTCTTAACCTTGGCCAACTGTTTCTTGGATCATCTTATTTGTGTCCCAGAAAAGTGTGTATTCAACACCCCTAATGGCATAAAAACCCAGAGAGCAGTTAGCTGATAATCAGTTTACCTTGTGACAATATAGGGAGAATGAGGACCCTCAGAATAAATGCTCTAGAGCAGGGCTTTAAGCACATGCATGTGGATATGTACACATGACACAACTTTGTTTATAAAGGTAGTAGAAGAAGTCTCAAATCGTTAGAATTTCCCTTCCTTTCATAAGTGACAAATCTAAGGCATGGTAATTTTTCTAAGATCAAAACGTAGTAGTGAAGAAACAAGAAATAGCACTTTGGTTTCCCAGTGCGCAAACAAGTATTCTTTCTATGTTTTATGTTTGTTTCTCCTACAAAAGTGATGTTATACTCCAAGTCTTCACAGTTTGACCTTTCCATTGCAATATCCTTTTCAAGTCTTAGAGTCTATGAAAAAGTAGTTTTGCCTATGGATGATACCTTTGCACATGCTATCTGGCCAGAGAAAAAATATTACTGATTTATCGATGCAGAACAATTTTTATTTTTATTTCTGTTTATGATCACTTTAATACATACTGTATTCATATTTAAATCAACTCAATCACCTCTGTGAGAGCATTTTGAAATACAATATGTTGTGTGTTGCACAGTATAGAGGTTTGCATGTCATAAGTAGTCAAAATTATTTTTTTTTGAGTGAGTGGATGGCTGAATGAAGAAAATAGGATTATAATCATATATTAGATTATTAGTTTTACTGACAGAGTGATATAATAGTTAACTCTATATTGAGAATTAACTTAAGAATATTACAAGGGATGATATTTGGATCATTTAACAGGTTTTGTGTTTCACAGTGACTATATATAATTTTAGACAGTTTTTATTTGCACAGACTGAAATTATTTTAGAGTTATTCATTACTTCAGAGAGCCAACTTTTTGATGAAATTTATATGCTGCCAAACTACATATTTGGATATGTTATTCGCTTCTCTAGCTGTTTGTATCTAGTGTATTATAGATGCATCTTTTTTTCTGTATCTAATCATGGTATTTATTATAGTACTCAGATTTTACTTTCAGAATGTGTAAAATAGACTGCATTTATCTAAACCTGAAGAGATTGTCTCATGATTAATAATCTGTCCTGCCATTCTTTTGCTGTTTTCTGATGATTACTGTGAGAGGTGATACTAATTGTGTTAGTTTTAGATCCAGAAGTCATAAAGTAACTCCAAATTTCACTCTAAGCTTTCACTAGCTGGGAGCTTATATTTAGTAGAATATATATGTGTTTGGCTACAATAACGTCACCACAAATAACAGTATCTTGAAAAATATACTTTTGTTTATCTCACAGATAATAGGCCAAATAGCATTAGTCCAAGGCTGAAAAAACAAGTCCACAGTGCCAAAGACTCCCTCATGATAGTCATACTCTGGCTTTTATGAAATTGTTAGTTTACTATCCTCAGTGTGATTTCCCCATGCCTCCAGTAAGGAGGGGAAAGGGGAAAGGGACTTTCTCCTTTATTTAAGAACATAATCTAACAAAATCACTCATGGGGTGCTTTGCTGGCTCAGTCAGTTAAACATCCAACTCTTTACTTCAGCTCAGGTCATGATCTCATGTATTGTGAGATTAAGCCCTGTTGGGAGCCATTCTGAGCCCACTAGTCGAGAAAACTCCTGGTGAGGTTAAAGCAAGTTTGCAGGGTCTCTTGCCAATCAGATGATGACCGATATCTACCCCCACTCAATTATTTCTGCTTGAGCACTGACCCCTAGGGTACCTTGTTGATCAATATCGGGAGTGACTTGTCCCCTTATTCTGGCCCTGGTATGATGATTGCACCTTGTGAAGGAACTTACCGTGGGAACTTCTTCTTTTGATTATGGGAACAGACATCGTGTCTCCAGCAGCTCCTGTTTCCCTCCATACTTTCCCTTGAGCTATGAACAGGCTAATGACCCCTAGTCATAAAAGACTGACCTTTACATGTACAATTCTGTTTCTACCGTTGCATTAGTCCAGGATGTTCATACAGCTCAACATGTAAATCAACTAACCAAAAATGTCTCTCATGCCCTAGCTATTCAAGAAATCATAAGAGTAGACACAAAGGTAAATGCACTCGAAGAGGCTATTCTATGTATGGGAAATAAGCTAAACTCTTTAAAGGTATGGTTGGCTCTCTGGTGCCATAAAGCATATAACTGGAAAATCAAGTCTTGCCCGGAGACAAAGAGCCTAACTTAGAGAGAAGGAACAGATAAGGGCAGAAGATAAGTTAGTACATACACCTTTGCTAACTGATGGTGTAGAGCAGCCCCTTCCCTAAGGCCTACATTCCACAAACACCTTCCTTTACCCTGGCAGCTGTGATGAGGATTGATAAGAGTATCTACAAACCTATGACTTAATCTTAGCGTTATTAAAATGTGAACACCTTGTTATTTTCTTAGTTACTCAACCTCACTATAATTGAGGCAGTTCTGCAAGAAGACTTCTGTAAAACCTGTTTCTGTACATTTTCCAAAAACACCTTATCACAGAGAGCTATCCATTTTAAAAATTCCATTTTCTGATGCCATGTTAACATTTGACCTATAAATAAAGACACCAAAACCGACAGGACAGAAATGCCTGCCTGGTGATCAGAAAGGATCTCAGGGCTCTCTCATTCTCTTTCTCCGACACCGTCCATTCTTCAGGGACCCCTGGACCTGTCGGAGCCGGCGTGGCCTCTGACAAAGCTCTACATGGGAGCTCCATGCTGACAGCGTAGAGCCTGCTTGGGATTCTCTCTCTCTCCCTTTCTCTCTCTCTCTCTCTCTCTCTCTCCCTCCTTTCTCCCTCTCTCTCCCCTTCTCTCTCTCTGCCCCTCTCCACATATGTGCTAGTCTGCATGTACATATGCTCTCTCTCTCAAAATGAATAAAACATTTAAAAATTTAAAAAAATTTAAAAATCACATTGTCTCAAATCCTATTGAATCTAATTCAGTTTCATTTTTACTCCTAGATACAAAGTAGGCTGGTAATTCTGTCTGTATCCTAGTATTTGGGTGTCTCACATAAATTTCAGAGGGGAAGAAGAGATGCTCAAGGAAAAGTAACAGTCTCTGCCCAGGGGTTAGATCCTTTGATACTGTCCCACAATTCTTGGATTCATGCTTCCATTTCATTTTTGTTTTCAATTAATTTTTTCCTCTGTATTTCAACATGGGTTGTTTCTATTGCTTTATGTTTAAGTTCCTTGATTATGTTTTCTGCTATGTCCTATCTACTCATAAAGAATTCTTCATCTCTGGTATCATACCTTCTTAAATTCTAGGTTTTTAATTTTTTCAGCTTACAAAGTTTCCATCATTTTGTTGAAATTCTGTGGATAACTATTCATGCATGTTTTCTTTTCCACTAGATCCTTTAAAATATTAATGATACTTAAGTTCTTTGGTAGTTCCAATACAAGTGAAATAAAAGAGCCTATTGAAGAGATTTTATTTCAAGTTGTATATGCATCTGGATAGTCAGAGTATATCTAAATCATCTCTGTGTCTGGTTCTGTTATCTGCTCATCACTTGACAAAGATTCATTTTAGTCCCCTGCTATATCTGTGTATTATGATTTTTTACTGTATTCTGGAATAATGTATAATATAATAGGCACTGAGGGAGATCATATCCATGCCTGGAAAGGTGCAGGCCTCTTCTTTTTTCAGGCTATTTCTAAGTTGAGTCAAACTAGACAGTAGTCGAGCTGGGTTTTATTTTTCTGTGGCACCATGGGTTTCAAAGTCCCCAACCATCAGCTGCTGCTACCTTTTTGTTCATTCTGGACCCTAGGGTCTTGGTGAGATTTTCTTTGCATTCCTGTTCCATAGTCAGCTTTCAGCAGATCTTGGATAACTGCACTACAGAAGGGACCCTTTCCATGCTATTTCCCCTCCTCCAATGGTATATTGATGTTGCTTGTTACAGGGTATGGGGCCTGTGGTAGGAAAGAGAGTGTCTCTAAGATTTTATGATCCAGACTCAATCTTAGCAGGTCCTCTGTCTACCTTGGTCATAGTGATGGATCTTTCTCAGCATTCCTTTTCTCCCTCATGATAGTCACACTGTAGCTTGTATCTGTGAGATTCTTGGTTAGGAGAGTCTTCTGCCTCTCCAGCAACAAAAGCTGGCCTCTGTTAGAAAAAAGACAAATCTGCTTCTCTGTGAATAGCACTGTGCTGCCTTTGCCAGGAACTGATGACAGAGGGATTCTCCCCTTCTTCCAACAGATTTCTGTTCCTGTTCTTTGAGGCAAGGTTTGTGGTAGAAGGGGAGGTTTCTTGACCCCTTCCAGAGTCAGAAAGTTTTGTCTTCTTTCATTTACCTTTGCTGGGATTAGGGTCTAGGTTTTCCTAGCCCTTACCCAGTGGTTTATAGCTTTTGATTCATGTAAAAAAGTTCAAGAAGTGAGTATGAATTTGTGCTTCTACCCCATGAAGAGGGAATTCTATTTGGTCTCCTCCTTTGCCTACAGTCTTTCTCATGAGCACATGATGGAGGCTCATAGTAAAGAACTATAGGGTAATTAAAGAGTCACTTTGTTGCACAAAGTCTAAATTTTCACCCTAGTCAACCTTTTATCTTTAATAACTCATTGATGTTTCAGTTGTTTTTGTTTACTTTATTCTTATGCCAATCACTTCTTACTTATTTACTCTTGTACTCTGTGAAGGTAAAATAATTCCTGTGTTCCTTCTTTCCTTAAAAGGCTCTTCATGCTTTAAGATTTACTTTGCCCTTCACCTCACTTCTCAGATCGGCCGGAAATGTTATGATTTTATAGTTGGTTTTCTTTTTCTTTTTGTTGTTGTGAAGGTAGAAGTTCTCTTGTACGTTTCTAAATTCTAAGTTGAAGTCATATCATGTCGCAGGGTTTAAATAGCTCATGCTCGGTATTATCTTTTACTAAAATAGTTTTTTGGCATTCACAGATTTAGAATTTATGGTACCAACGGTATGAGATCTATTTCAAAACAAATTTAGTATTGGAATCTTCATGATAAAATTGTCTGACTTGTGGAGCGAACCTAGCCCAGGCTTAGCTAGTGTGTGAACCTAGCAGAATCCCTCAATATTTGCAGCTCAACCAATCTTTACTGTACTTACATATGAACTGTTTATCTCATGTGTAATTTACTGCAATTTGCAGGACTACGGGGGGTCTCTTGTAATGCTGGCAATCATAAGCTTTTATGACATGCACATTTAGCTATTTGCAAAGATCATGATTAATATTATTAGCAAATACAAAGGTCTGTTCTACTTAGAATATGTACTTAGATATATGTCTGGATATATCTCTGCCTAGATATAGTATAGGCACATAGTTTCTTTTTAATGATATTTGTGATGATACTCTTGTGTTTCGTGTAGATATCAACCACACATTAGCTCAATGTGTATTTAACCTAACAAAGTTCTTTTTATCACTGCAATAGAACTACTGTGCATAGAATGCTAGATGTAAATGTACAGAGTGAGTGCATGCTCTAGTTACTTCCATTAGCAGTTAGCTATGTAGTATTCATGATTCAAATTTGCTCTTAAAAAATAATAGATTCATCTGTGTCATAGATACTCACCATCAATAGCATATCACTGAAACAGTAAATATTAAATCTGTAAAGAACAAAGACCTACTGTACCATAAGCAATGGCAAAACACAATCATTATTAGATTTTAGGCTAAAATTAATCAATTTTAAAAATGGGCCCTCAGGTTAAATTATTAACACCCAACTTTTCCTTTTCCACTTTCCGTTTTGAAAATTACTAAAATGCATACTTTACTTGTAGTTTAATAAATATATTTAGTCAGTGCTTAATCAATATCTTACAGAAGGGATAAAATCAAGTTAATGATGCATGCCCAGTAGAAATAGTCGTCTTACCAAACGGGAAAGCCATCTCTTCTCGACAAGGAACCAATCTTCATAAACTATAAGAACCACCCATTTGACACACTCTATTAATTGTAATTAAAACATGAACATCTACTTTGCTGTGCTACCGTTTAATAGATTTTGATCAGCTTTCATATTTGCTCCCAGAGTGGTGGTTTGTGTATTGTGATTAAGACTCAGTTTGAGCCCCAGTATTGTTTGTCATTACTTGTGACAGTATAAACTATGAGATCAGTCATTTGTGCTGTTTTTCCTTATGCTGATTTAAAAAATGTGTCAGTATAATGACATTAAAATACTGAGCTATATTTGGAAATAAATGCTCAGCTACTCTAGTCATTTCATATTCACTGTCATAATGTTAATCATGAGGGTCTTATGTGGTGTTATTTGGATGTAATTTCATTTTAAGATCCTACAAAGTCCTCTATCTCTTGTCTGGGTTTAGTCAAGTGTATCTGCCTTAGTATGTCTGCATTTGGCAGTATTGCACTTCCTTTCAGACTTCTGTTAGAGGGATATTTGAAACATGGAAAACAGTATGCAGGGAGAAGTAAAACTACCCATCATGTGGCTTAATTTAGATGCCCTTAATCTGGTTCAGGTTCAGTGGCTTGGTTTTGAAAATGGGATTTTCTCTAACTCTTTCAACTTTCCTCCTCTGTAACTTGGATAAGATCAATTAGACTCAGAGAGGAAATATTCACACCTAATGTGCAAATGCACATGATTGGCTTCTTGTTCTTGTGACAGTGCCAGAAATTGCATGTGTTAGTATTATCTTACATTGTAGAAAAAGCCAAGTTGATAATTGTGAACTGCTTTCTGCAGCTGTGAATGCCCCCTTTCAAACCAATAGAAAACAACAGGAGGCCCAACTGTGAACATTCTTTTGAAAATTCTATTTACAAAATGTATCCATTAACAAACTACCCCACAGCTTCCTGGGGATTAAACAAAGTCAGACCTGGTAAAGTAACAGTGCTACTCAGTGGGATTTGCTTACACCCTGTCTCTTGTGTTCAACTCCCAGTAGAGTAGAATTCATAGGTTTTCTTGGAAGTTGTATAATTTTTTTCTTTTTATATAGATAAATAGCCTAGCCAGAGTTATCACTAAAAAACAAATGTCTAAATGGCCTTTATAATAAATATTTAGGGTTACCTGGGTGGCTCAGTCTGTTGAGCATTTGACTCTGGATTTGACTCGGGTCATGATCCCAGGGTCATGGGATTTAGCCCTGTGGCAGGCTCTGCCCTGAGCATGGAGCCTGCTGGGGATTAGCTCTCTCAATCTCTCTCTCTCTCTCTCTCTCTCTCTCTCTCTCCCTCGCTTTCCCTTTCTCCCTCTCTCCATCTCTCTCCCTCTCCCCCTCCCTGCCCTCCCTCTCTCCCCACCTTCCTTCTTCCCCCCCCACCCTGCCCCTCCCTACTGCTCATGCATGCTCTCTCTCTCCAATATTTTTTCTTTAATTTAAATAAATAATTGATACTATACCTTATGGAAGTACTTATAATTTGGTTCCTAATTTTTCATGGGCTTTTTCCAACACACTTGAAACTTATGATTTATTGCCTTGTATTATTATTATTTTTTTTTGTTGGAGGCCGGCTCCAGCAGGTCCATGGGTCCCTGAAGGATGGACGGTGTCGGTGAGAGAGTGAGAGAGCCCTGAGATCCTTTCTGATCACCAGGCAGGCATTTCTGTCCTGTCGGTTTTGGTGTCTTTATTTATAGGTCAAATGTTAACATGGCATCAGTAAATTGAATTTTTATAATGGATAGCTCTCTGTGATAAGATGTCTTTGGAAGATGTACAGAAACAGGTTTTACAGAAGTCTTCTTGCAGAACTGCCTCAATTATAGTGAGGTTGAGTAACTAAGAAAATAACAAGGTGTTCACATTTTAATAACGCTAAGATTAAGTCATAGGTTTGTAGATACTCTTATCAATCCTCATCACAGCTGCCAGGGTAAAGGAAGGTGTTTGTGGAATGTAGGCCTTAGGGAAGGGGCTGCTCTACACCATCAGTTAGCAAAGGTGTATGTACTAACTTATCTTCTGCCCTTATCTGTTCCTTCTCTCTAAGTTAGACTCTTTGTCTCCGGGCAAGACTTGATTTTCCAGTTATATGCTTTATGGCACCAGAGAGCCAACCATACCTTTAAAGAGTTTAGCTTATTTCCCATACATAGAATAGCCTCTTTGAGTGCATTTACCTTTGTGTCTACTCTTATGATTTCTTGAATAGCTAGGGCATGAGAGACATTTTTGGTTAGTTGATTTACATGTTGAGCTGTATGAACATCCTGGACTAATTCAACTGTAGAAACAGAATTTTTCATGTAAAGGTCATTCTTTTATGACTAGGGGTCATTAGCCTGTTCATAGCTTAAGGGAAAGTATGGAGGGAAACAGGAGCTGCTGGAGACACGATGTCTGTTCCCATAATCAAAAGAAGAAGTTCCCACGGTAAGTTCCTTCACAAGGTGCAATCATCATACCAGAGCCGGAATAAGGGCACAAGTCACTCCCGATACTGATCAACAAGGCACCTTGGGGGTCTGTGCTCAAG